CTGTTGTGAAGACTCCCCTGCATGGCCTGCATTGGCCACTAGGACTGAGTGGCAGCGGCATGCCCCAGCCATCCTAGAGGAGACTGGGGCCAGGAGGCAGGGGCGGGAGACTTGGATCCCATGCTTGTCTTTCATCTGTCTCTCAGTGGAAATCGCAGAAAAGCCATTTTCTCTTCTGCAGCCAAAGAACATCATAGACTCAGGAAGCAACTAATTTATTCAACCCACAATGATACGAAATGATCTCATCTTAATATGTTAAAAGGTTTCATATGAAGGAATTTTTTTTTCCTTTTTTGAATGAGAAATCATTGTATTTAGAACATTTGATTAATGAGTTATTTTAAATATTTTCCTGGGCTTTTTTTGCTTAAGAGTCACATATCTTTTAAATTGTGTTATTATTATCCACAAGATTGCTTAAACACAGACTTTGCTTCTCCGTTATCAGATTCCAGGAATTAGAGGAATCTAGAATTCTTTTTTTTTTTCTTTTCTTAAGACCTTGGTAATTATTTGTGAGCCATCCTTTTTCTCCTAAAGTGTTTTAATAGAAGTAGGTAAAGAAGCAAGAACTTGAAATTTGTTGTTCTTTTTGAAGAGTTGTTGTTGATTGTGAGGTGCCATCAAGTAGGTTCCAACCCACAGTGATCTATGTAGAACAGAAGGAAACACTGCCCAGACCTGAGCCATCCTCACAAGTGTTCTGTTGGAGCTCATTAGTGCCACCACTATGTCAGTCCATCTCCTGAAGACCCTTCCTCTTTTCCATTGCTCCTCTACTTTGCCAAGCATGGTGTCCTCCAGGGACTGGTCTCTCCTGATAACATGTCCAAAGTACATAAGAAAAAGTCTCACCATTCATGCTTCTAAGAAGCATTCTGGCTGTATTTCTTGAAGACAAATCTGTTTGTTCTTTTGGCAACCCATGGTCCCTTGAATATTTTCCCCTAACACCAAGGTTCAAATGTGTTCATTTTTCTCCCGTTTTCCTTATTCCGTGTCCACCTTTTACATGCCTATGTGGCATCTGAAAATAATGTGGCTTGGATGAGCAGGCACCCCTTAGTCCTCAAAGGAACAGCCTTGCTTTCCAGCACTCTGAAGAGGTAATGTGCAGCAGATTTACCTGATACAATGTGTCGCTCATCTCTTGACTACTGCTTCCATGAGCATTCATTGTGATCCAAACAAGATGAAATCCTTGACAACTTCAATCTTTTCCCCATTTATCATGATACTGCCTATTAGTCCAGTTGTGAGGATTTGGGGCTTCTTTACAGGAGTCATAATCCATATTGCAATCTTTGGTCTTCATCAGCAAGTGCTTCATACATTCTCACTTCCAGCAAGCAAAGTTGTGTCATCTGCGTATCGAAGGTTGTTAATAAGCCTTCTTCCGATCCTAATGCCATATTCTTCCTTTAAACCAGCTTCTCTGGTTATTTGCTCCACTTGCAAATTGAATAAGTATGTTGAGAGGATACACTCCTTCCTAATGGTAAACCATGCAGTATACTCTTGTTCAGTTTGAATGACTGCCTTTAAAGGAGTAGCTTATCAATATTTAAAGCATCCAACAGATAGTTAGGCACTGTCTGTGCCAAGGATTGATTTAAGGATTAATCATAGATGCATTAGTGAACAGAAATTGTTTAATTCTTGCCTTCGTGGCACACAAATTCTAATAACAGTCAGAATAACAGAAAGAAATGTTATTACAGTTATTACAGAATAACAGAAAGAAATGTCGTTAAATTAGGTACCAAATTAAGATAATAAATTCTAAGAAAGAAACATAGGTTAAAGGGGGTTGCAAATTCAAAATGAGTCAAAATTTTCCACAGGACTATCTAAGAACATGTCAGGTACACATACACTTAGGCTCAACAAGTTCAACTGTAGGAGTGTACCCAAGAATTAGATTTTCAAAAATGGAGCAAAACTGTACATTCTAAATATTCATGTTGTGTGCGGGGGAAGAGAAATATAAGAGTCAGCCAATATGATATTGGTTGAATAAATTCTATTCATGGTTTTAAAATAATGGCTTATTAGAATTGTATTCAATGTTCATAATTAATATGTGTCACTGCAATGGATGGTATGAACTTATTTGAAGAAATAAGGTAACTTTGTATGTACTGAGAAGGAGCCCTGGTGGCGGGCTGGGTTATGCACTGCTGCAAGGCCAGCAATTCAAAACCACTCGCTGCTCCAAGGGAGAAAGATCAGGTTTCCTAGCTCACTTTAAAAGTCTCAGAAACAAACCCACAGGGGCAGTTTTATACTACCCTGTGGTCACTGTGAGTCAGAATCATCTTGATGGCAGTGAGTTTTATTTTTTGTCTTTACATGTACTGTCAGGTAAGGGTTGAACTGCTAGCCACAGGGTCACTGGTTCAAACCCACCCAAGGCGAAAGATGTTTAGCCTGTATGTGCTAATGTGGAAAGATTCCCTGTATATACTGCTGAATATCATAAGCGAGGTTTAGAACAAGTTTAGGATTAGTTTAATTTTATTTTAAAGAAGGGGCTTCAAAATTTCATAGGAAAATTGAATTAAAAGACAACGGAATTTTTCATGAACTTTTTGAAACTCCCTCAGCCATTGGCATATCCTGAGGATTTTTTGTTGGTTTCAGTTTAAGAAGAAATTACAAAGAAGGTTAACAATTTGGGTTTGTTTTTTTCTTTGTTTGCTTCAGGCTGGAATTAGCATTGGAGAGCGAGGCTACTTGCTTTTATATTTTATACCCTGCAGTGCTATTTGAACTTGGTCAAGTGCAAGTGTTACAATTAATTTTGAACAGATTAGTGAATTAGGAGAGAAGCAATTGGTTAAATAAATAATACTTCTAATGTGGTTTAATGGTCACAATTAGAAAACTGGTAAAGATTTTGGATATTTAATAAGCACATGTAAAATAACTTGACACAACCAAAACCAAAGCAGTAGCTTCCAGGTTAAGTCAATTCCAACCCATGGTGACTCCATGTGTGTCAGAATAGTACTGTGCCCCATAGGGTTTTCAAGGGCTGTTTGTTCTGTTGTGTGTCTTTCAAGGTGCCTCTGTGTGAATTAGAACCTCCAACCTCTGGCTAGCAGCTGCACATGCTAACCTAACGGAAACCCCTGGTTTGATATGGCAGGCTTTTATTAGGGCTTCATTTTGTGTTCCCACTGGAATTTCTGAGTTGCTGACTTTTTTCAGCTCCAATACTAGGATATTTGAGGGAGAACAAAACCCAGGGAACTTACCACTGTGTTATTCCTTGGGCTCACTGGTCCCTCACCGGTCTGTCTTCTCTCCACCTTTTAGTGGCTGTTCTGTTTTTTTTAAACATAATGCTCAGGGTTTGTGTTAAATTTCGTGGTCGAACTAGGGGCAGTGACTCTTTGAGAAGACTCTGTTAGTCTCACTCCAGCTGTTTCTCGCTTCCTGTTGGTTTGTAAGCATACCCGTTGTCACTGCGATGCTTCTGACTCAGTGACTCCATATGCTATAGAACAGCACGGCCCCAGAAGCTTTTCTTGACTGTAATCTCTTCTGGAAGCAGACTGTCAAGCGTTTCTTCCTCAGAACGCTGCCAGCCTTTAGGTTAATAGTAAGTGCAAAGCATTTGTACCACTCGGGGCCAGGTTCTATCTAGAGATTTCCCCCCTCCCATCCCCCATTGCTACATATTTAAAAGTATTCAAACATATATAAGCTTGTGGCCACAAATAATTTGGACCAACATATGGTAAATATTTCATGCAAATGCACATGTTGAGCTGAATTTGAGATATCTGTATAAAGAAACTCAAAGAGGTTCAGTAATGTCCGTTGCTCAAGGCAGTGATTTACTTAAAAGGAGCAACTGCTGAAAACTGGAAAGCAAGGTGGCATTATTGGAAGTAAGAGCCACGTGGTCACAAGAGCTTTCTAGACAGAAACATTGTTACAACGTCTATTTTTCCTGATTGTTAGAAAAAGAGTTCATCTTTTTCATGGTGGAAAAATAATGAAAATTCTTAAAAGAGTGGCTTCTTACCTTTCATCCGCGTACCATGACTGTGTGATATTTCCCTAGGGGCCGGTACCTGGGTCTCAGGGGCTGCTGTGGGTGTAGGCCTTGTAATTTATAAGGGAGGACGATGGCCTTTGGGGGCCATTGATGGGTAAATTACCCCTCTTCTCTAAATGTTTATTTTCTTATCTGAAATTGGATTTTGATGGCTGTAGAATCAGTGATAATGTAAGGATTAAACATATTAATATCTAGATGAAGCCCAATGTGGTGATTGTGCAATAAATGGTAATTATGATCATTTATAATTAAGATGTTTTTTGTCATTGTAAGCTTTGAATAAACATTTTTTTTAATTTATTCATTTATTTTTATTTTATGGGGGGCACATACAGCTCTTACAGCAATCCATATATCAAGTGGATCAAGCACATTTGTACATATGTGGCCATCATCATTTCCAAAACATTTTCTTTCTACTTGAGCCCTTGGTGTCAGCTCCTCTTTTTTCCCCCTCCCTCTCCCACTCTCCCACCCTCATAAACCCTTGATAACTTATAAATTATTTTTATTTTCATATTTTACACCATCCATTGTCTCCCTTCACCCATGTTTCTGTCATTTGTCCCCCTTGGCGGGGGGAGGGGCGTGTTGTACGTTGATTATTGTGATTGATTCCCTCTTTCTCCCCCTTGAATAGACATTTTAAAGCCTGCCAAAAGTGTTATTGTATGAATATTACATAAATATGTAACATCTCCTCTTGTTAGACATGGAGATAATCTTCAGTTCTTCAGCTTTATAAGTAAGAGTTCAATCTTGGTACTTAAGTCTCTATCTTCATTAGGGATTGTTTCCTTAAATTCAGCGTCCTAGAATCGAATTATTAAGTCAACGTAAAGAACCTTCAAGATATGTTGCACCCCTAATAGAAGGGAGAGAGAAAAAGACCCCTTTCTAAATGTTTAAATTTTACCTTTGCTAGAAGCATCAGATGGTGAAGGAGGAGGAGGAGGCACAGAGATGATGCAGCAGGAGACAACTCCAGTTCTTCCCCAGGCAAAGAAAACCAAACAGGTAGGTAGCAGTCACCATGGGAAAGGTGTTGTTGGTTTCTGAAACCACCCTCTGCCCCCTCTTGTTATTGTTGTGCTCTGTTGAGTCCGTTTGGACTCATAGAGATCCAGTAGGACAGAGTCACCTTTACAGGAACAGATTGCCACACTGCCCATCTTTGGGCTAGTACCTTAGTACTGGCCCCTTCTTTCACCCCTCTTCAGCATTAGGGGTTTATGGTAATGTAAATATATGATTATATTTTATTATAATGATATCTTCAATTTCTGTATCACAGTTTCCCCAAACATCCCACTATATTCTTTGGGGGTAACGTTCTGATAAGGTATGTTAGTCTCAGTAGACTAGAGAAATAAATCCAAGGACACACATATGTGTATAAGAAAGAGATTTATATATAAGAGCAATTGAACAGTGAGAAAACATCCCAGCCCAGTCCAGATCAAGTCCATATGTCCGATATTAGCCCATATGTCTGATACCAATCTATAAAGTCCTCTTCAGACTCACAAAACACATGCAATGACACCGAATTCAGAAGATCACAGGCCAGTGGGTACAAAGTCTTTGGATCCAGTGGCATTGGAAACATCTCAGCGCTGGCAGGGATCTCTGCATGGCTTCTCCAGCACCCAGGGCTGTATCAGGGTGGGTCCATGTATCTTGTCAGCTGCTATGTCTCCCTGGGTGTGAGCAGAGAGTCTCCCACGTCCAGGGAGGAAATACCGGAATTCCCAGAATCCTTAGGGGAAGGCTATGCCCACACAGAAGCCTCATTGGCTATGATGTGATTGACAGGCTAGACTCCAACCCTACATGGTTAATCCTTAAATTGACAATTATATAACTACCACAGAAGGAGACAAATCGCATGAAGATTTGCAAACTTAGCCCTCACACAAACCCAGGAAGGGAGTGTCACACATGCCATGCTGCCAGCGGACACCTGGCACCTTGTTTCTACTCATTGTGAAGTTCTGGCTTACCAGAGACTGTTGCTTCCATCTCTCCACAAACGGCCCCTGGAATAACCTTCACTTTCTGTCCTTATGACCTTTATGGCCCTTTGGGTTATTCTACTGGGCTTTGAAATGCTCCATTGATTTGCAGCTATATAATTGCTAAATTGATGCCATCACTACTCTCTGCTTTTGTAAAGAGCCACTAACCCGTCAGACGCTAATGTCTTCAAAGCAGTGATTTGTGAGCTTATTCTTATTGTAGGGAGCCATAAATGCATTCCACTCTCTCAGAAGTTTGTGGCCAGGCTAAGGATCATTGTAAAAATCAGTTTACCACATAGGTGCTTACAAGCTGTGTGATCTTGGGCAAGTCACTGAAATTCTCTGTATATCAGTCACATTTTTAAAATGATGATCACAATTGTATTTTCGTATAAAATTGTAGTGCAGTTTCAATGAGTTTATATTTGTTAAGTACTTCAAACAATGGTTGACAAAGCACATGCCCTGAAGTCCTACTTAGTATAGTTAATGTACGTGTCATTTTGTTCATGATTTTTCTTTGTGAGAAAGGGAATGCAGAAAGTATGCATATGTATTCTCTTCATCCATTGAGTATTTTTGCTCAAAGGTTCTTCCTCAGTTGTAATTTTTACCATTCTTTCAAAGACCTACAGGTTACCATCCTTAACTTTTTAATTAATTTCCTCTCAAACCAAACTCACCACCATCAAGTCAATTCTGGGCTCATAGTGATCCCACAGGGCAAAGTAGAGCTGCTTCTTTGGGTTTCTAAGACTATAAATCTTTACAGGAACAGAAATCCTCATCTTTCTCCCATGGAGCAGCTGCTGGGTTCAAACTGCTTCTCTTGCAGTTATTAACCCAATACATAATCTACTGTGACACCAGAACTCCAACCCAGAGCAACCCTATGCACCACACAACGAAACGCTGTACGGTCCTGCACCGTCCTCACATTTGTTCCTGTGCCGGAGCCTATTGCTGCCGCCGCTGTGTCCATCCATCTTCTCGAGGCTTTCACTTTTCACTGCCCCTCCGCTTCACCAAACTCAGTGTTCTTCTCCAGGGTCTGGACTCTCCTGACAACGTGTACACAGTATGTAAGACAAAGATGTGCCTCTTTGCTTCTAAGGGGCCCTCTTGTCTTACTTCTTCCAGTACAGATCTGTTTGTCCTCTTAGCAGCCCATCGTACTTTAAATATTCTTCTCCAGCACCACAATCCAAAGGCATCAATTCTTCTACAGTCTTCCTTATACCAGGTGCAATTTTTACTTGCATAGTGCTACAAAGTTTGTCACACTGGGGTGGCTTGTGTATTGCTGTGATGCAGGAAGCTATGTCACTGGTATTTCAAATTCCAGCACAGTCACCCAAAGTGAACAGGATTCAGTGACGCTTCCAGATTTACTGCTGTAGGAAGAAGGGCTTAATTTACTTGAGAGTATTCGCCACCATCACACCTTCTCTGACAGTTGCCCCTAGTTAATACCAACATGCAGAATGTGTTTATGAATCTTTTTCTTCATGCATCTTTAACTTTCATTTTCAATAGTTCTTTCCTGGATTTTTTTCTTGTTAGTTCATCACTTTTTCAGGACCCATCAGTAAAAGGGTCAATTTGCGTTAATAAACTCACCGGAGCTTGCATCTTCACTGTCTTTTTACGGGTGAAACCACCAGCAGTGCTAACTTTCTACCTGCTTTTTACCTGCTTTTTCCTTAGATTTTCTTTCCTATAACCCTCATGTGAGAAAAATAGCAGAGAACAACAGGGAGAAAAGAAAAAGTGGGCCAGAAGTGAGGAAAAGGGGTTTGTCATTTATGACAAATTCACCTATCATTCAGCTACAAAGGCTTCCACAGTAACGTTGTTAGGTACCATGGAGTCAGCCCCAGCTCCTAGGGAACCTGTGCACAACCAACCAAAACACTGCCTAGGCCTGCGCCACGCTCAAAATTGTGCTTACGTTTGAGACCGTGGTTGCAGCCACGGTGGCAGTCCTTCTCTTCAAGGGCTTGCCTCTTTTTCGCTCCTCCGTTACTTCACCAAGCAAGACCTGGTCTCTCCTGACAACATGTACATAGTACATGAGAAAAAGGCTCACCATCCTTGCATTTAAGGAGTACTCTGGCTGTACTTCCAAGACAGATTTGTTTGTTCTACTGGTAGTCCATAGTACTTTTCTTTTGGGGGGCATATAATTCACATATCATACAACTCAGTATTTCAATCACATCAAGAAGCATTGTACAATCATCTCCACAGTTTTAGAACATTTTCTTTGTTTTTTGTACTCATCGTTATTAGCTTTCCATCTCCCTCCAACTTCCTCTGCCATAACCCCAAAGAACCATTAATCTAGTTACTGTCCCTATAAACTTAACCATCCTGGATTTCAGAAAAACATACATATAAAGGACCCCATTACCAACTAAGTGGACAGCCCTCCTCCCCGCAGAAGGACTCATTTCAGAGGACAGCACTGAAGCTACACCCTAAGGAGAGGAACGTGTCTGATCAGAACACACAGGAGCAAACGATGGGGGAAGGAAAAAGAGTGAAGCACATCCTGGCCCACCAATCCCTGAGGACAATATTTCTTCTCAGAGCAGCCAATGCACAGAGAGGACCATAGGGCTGGCTCCACCACGAGACGTCCCTCATTGACCTATAGCACCACAGGGGGCAATACTGGACACACTGCAGGAATTGTGCCCACTCTGACCTCACCACACAGAGGCGAAACACTAAGGGCATGCAACAGAACAACAAGGGGAGTAGAGCAATGAAGTCCCCAGGGAACACCAAAAAATAGACTTTGGGGTCAGGGCGTGGCACCCCATCAGACTCGACTAGAAAACACTTGTAAAGGACAACAAATAAACCTGGAACTATTTATAGGCCTTTTTTTTGTCATTGGCTTTTATGTTGTTGTTGGAGCTATTGTTTTATTTTCTATTGTTGATTTTGCTTGGTCTAGTGTTTGTGCACATTATTATCTTTTCATGTATATCTAAATAAGATAGGTTGGATAAACAAGCCAGAGGAGAAAACAATGAACGACAGTTCTGGTGGGAAATGGGAGAGGGGGAGACAGGGGAAAAGAAGTGGGTGTTAACAAACCCAGGGACAAGGGAACAACAAGGGACCAAAAAAACCAATGGCAAGGAGGGTGTAGGAGGTCAGGTAGGGCTTGATCAAGGGCAATGTAACCTAGAGGAACTACAGAAATCCAAATGAAGGATGAACATGATGGTGGGACAAGAGGAAAGTAAAAGGAAATAGAGAAAGGAACTAGGAGGCAAAGGGCATCTATAGAGATCTAATAGAGGCATGTACATATGTAAATATATTTATATATGACGATGGGATAATAGATCTATGTACATATACTTATAGGTTTAGTATTAAGGAAGCAGGTGGACATTGGGCTTCTACTCAAGTACTCCCTCAACACAAGAACACTTTGTTCTCATAATCCAGCATCCTTGGATGCTCACTTTCCTGACATGATTGCTGAAGACCAAGCGGGTACATAAGTAAATGTGGTGAAGAAAGCTGATGGTGCCCTGCTATCAAAAGATATAGCATCTGGGATCTTAAAGGCTTGAAGATAAACAAGCGGCCATTAGCTGAGAAGCAACAAAGCCCACATGGAAGAAGCACACCTGCCTGTGTGATCATGAGATGTCGATAGGATCAGGTATCAGGCATCAAAGACCCAGAGCAAAAAATCATAATGTGAATGAGGGGGGAGTGCGGAGTAGAAGCCCAAAGCCCATCTGTAGGCAATTGCACATCCCCTTACAGAAGGGTCATGGGGAGAAGACGGGCCAGTTAGGGCTCAGTATAGCACTGATGAAACATACATCTTTCCTCTAGTTCTTTAATGCTTCCTACCCCCACCACTATCATGACCCTAATTCTACCTTACAAATCTGGCTAGACCAGAGAATGTACGTGGGTACAGATAAGAGCTGGAAACACAGGGAATACAGGACAGATAAATTC